GAGCCATGGGAGCTGTGACTTTTCCGCATCCCATAGCTCGCCTGGCGCAAATTGGCTCACGGCAAGTTCCCAAGGCGACGATTTCACAGGATTTGGAAGGAGAATGGTCATGGCTGGTGAGTATTTTTCAATTTGCAGCAGCAAATTGAGACACCAGTTCCGAGCCCACCACTTACAAGGGCCTTTGGTCCTCTGCTCTTTTGGTCGCTTCACCTCTTGACCAGCTTTAGGTTGGCCCCGTCCGGACGAACAAACTGCTCTTCTCCGCACATGTCCCGTAGCTTGTGAGGAGCGATGCCCCAGAAATACCAGGGCAAAGCGTAGTCAGTCTCAAGCTCACTCTGCCCGCCCCTTTAGGTGGCAGTTCCCAGATGCTGGTGCCAGCTGCGTCTCAGGACTGCAATGCAATTCGTTTTGACCTGCCCGGCAGGAAGGGGTTCGGAAGGGGTCTTGTACTTCCCTTCTTGGCATCGCTGTTTTGTGGCTGTTTCACAGAGGCTCCCCTTACCTGGTGCAATGGGGAGCGAAATGCAACTGCCGGGCAGCCGCCAGAAAGCCCGAACTTGTTTTGAAATCAGGCAGCTAAACATTGCCAGGGATGTGACCTGGCGAATCAGAACAAAGGTGAAGAAATGACCACCTGCGCCATTGTGTGCTCAATAAGTACCATGGCCAAGTTTGATCACCAGGCATTGACGAAGACCTGCGGACTTGAAACAAAGTCATTGTGCCAATCTGCGTGAAGATGTGTTCGCGCGCATTCCTTGGTGATGTTTAGGTTCATGTTCATAAGCCAGATCAGGCCTGAACAAGGCCTTTTCAAGGAGGTGAAGAAGGCCATAGACCACCACCAATACATGTTCTAACGCTCCTGATAATATGCTGGCGCCAGGATCTTGGGTAGTGGCAACTGGCTCATCCAACGCGCTCCTCACGTGGAACACTCTTTTGATGATCCTCGCTCCGGCGCAGGCCCACCGCCATCCATTCCAATGCAGACGTATCCGAAATCGATCCTCAGAGTTCCCTATATTCCCCTTTTTGCTGATTAAAAAAAACTAATATCACCTTTTTGGCCCCTTTTTGGTATGTTTTGTTCGCTTGGCGATGTTTTAGGTTGGACATTTTGGGCGCCCTGTCTCGGGAAAGTCCCCAGGTCTCACCTTAGCAGCCTCTTGAGGGGCCATAGGCCTGGGCTGGCTGGGTTCCAGCCACCTCGGCCGAGCTCGTTTTTGACCTCGCATGGGACATGGACAAAGGTTGGGGCAAGTTGGCCACATCCCGCCAAGTTTGCGAAATTGTTTGGGCACATGCTGATTGGACCTGCTGCCTCTACAACCTCCTACCACCCCCAAAAGTCTACAACCACCTACCACCCCCAAAAAGATCCAATTTGTTCCATTTTTTTTTTTGGGCGGGGGGGGGGCGTGGGTGGGGGGGGCCTTTGTGGTCCCTTGAACTGCAGGCTGGGGAGATGCGCAGCGGAAGATTTGGAGGAGCGCACTTGCTGGATGCTGTGGTTGAAGATGGAGTCATCATTCACTACAATACCGTTCCCCAGCTGGAACTGGCATAAGAGCTCAGTGTTGTTATAAGCGCTCTTGCGCCTGCTTTAAGACCCTTGGCAATGTATTTGGCATGATTTGCAAAGTGTTGGCTGGAAACCAGAGGCGAAACTTCACTTGGGCATGTGGATTCCCTGTCTGTGGCAAGATTTTTATCACTTTGGCAGGCATCTGTTTGTCGCCAATGGGCGCGCGTCGAGCCGGAAAAAGCGACCGGATGTGACCCCTTTTTGGTTGCCTCATGTTGGGTTCAAGGTGAACCTGGCAAACTTGAAGCTGCCCAGTTTGACGAGCTTCACGTGCCCTAGCTTCGTAGCATGATTCAGGGCACGGGGAAACCCTTCCCTTTCGCAAAGAAAGCAAGCCATAATATGAGTTTTGTGGGAGGTTACCATTCAACCGTATCTAAACATTTGGAAGATGACTGCCTTGCGGACTTGCATCAAGAAGACCAGGTTTGCAGAGAAACGACCAGCCCAGGGACACTTAGGCAGGGATGGGATGCAGCACCTGACCAGAGTCCCTTTGAAAGGATGAACCATGATCAGGTTTGAACAATGGCCGTAGTACATGTGGACCGCGTGGCCCCGTGGCCCCTAGGTTAGATCTTCCTTGAGCGCTTGCATTCAGAGCTCTGCAGATGGAGGAGCGAATGAGACGGAATGCAGGTCCGGAGCTCAGCGAAGTGCGAAGGGTTGGCCAAGCTTTGACACATTGAACAACCATGCGAACCCCAACATGTTCGGCAGCGAAGCTTCACCGTTCTTGGCGTGTTTGGAATTAGTCTCTTTTTTTTCTTTTTTTTTTTTTTGGGGGGGGGGGCGTTGGGTCCAGTTCCTTTTTAGTGGCAGGCTGCAAAGAAAGCATGTTTGCTACCATGCCAAGGCTTGGAAGATAAACAACCCTGGGGAAATAGCATAATATGTTTGCGCATGTGCTGATGATTCGATTCGTCCCCCGAGGCGCCCCTTTTGGCGAGCAGCTTTGATCCCCTGTCTCCACGTTTTTCATGACATGGGCAGCGATCTTCCGTACCAATGCTGTTATATAATTACTATTACGTGTCGGGTCTCGTGGTCTGATGTGGGGGTTGCATTCGGGGAGGTTTGTTTAGCCCGGCTCAAGTGTGTGCGAGGGGGGCGTTAAAGGAGCCACAACTCATACTTCCACCGAATGGCCACAACTAGGTGATGAACACTTGCTGTGAGTTTTACAAACCACATCGTTACAACGTAGCAAGCAGGCAGCATTTCGAACTGACTTGCTGGGCTTGAGCTCGGAGCAGGCTTGTGTCCTGCAAAGAGTTGCTTGATGTGCCACTCGAACAAGGCACATGGCCTCATGTTCCATGTTTGGCGGCGCATGAACCTTGGTGGATGAAGCATGTGGAAGGTCCCCGCTACTCAGCACTGCTGCCTAGATTCCACACTTTCGCGTTTGTAGTGGACATTATCTTAAAGGTTTATTTTATTATATTTGTGTTTGTTCAACAAACATTCAAAAATTAACAATTACAAGCAATAAACATGATGATGAATATGAAGATTTGAATCAGCCAGCAGCAACAAGGGACAAGTGCTGTTTTCCCACAAGAAAGTGCGCCCCGACGCTGCAGAATTTCCAGATTTTGTTGAGCTACACTCAACTTTGCATCGCGTGTGTTTTCTGGGATCCCTCGATTGCCTTACCCCCTTAATGGTTGGATTGGTGGTTTGGGGGGGGTTTGAAGCCCAGCTCCTTTTAAGCTGGGGCCCCAAAATCCTCAAACCCCCCACACCAAAATGTCCAAGGGCTAAGGTGAATTGCCGTGTTTGCCCGGCCGCGAAACGGGCGCCATGCTAGGTTGGGGGAGCGGAGCCGAAGACAGGGCTAAGATGTTGAGCAAAAGGGAGGAATTCAGGCGGCTTCACGTTGGGCTACCCCAAGACCGCACTTTTTGAACCTTCTGGGTTGTCCAATTTCGGTTTCAATAAAAGTTGGCCAAGGTGCCAACACAAGCTGCGGTTTTCCGCTCCGTGAAGGTGACATCCTCAATATGAAGTTTCGAGACATGGTTCCAAGGGACACCACCCCGAACAAGAGCTCAGTTGCCCAAAGCCGACCTTTTAACCTTTTGGTTTTCCAGTTTTGGTCCATTTTTAGTCATGGCCCCAAAAGGTTAACCTTTTATTTCTGGGTCCTTTGGGCAACTGAGATAGTTTTTGCGAACCCCTCATGTTCCACTTTAGCCTTCGGTGGTTTGGCTTGGTGGCCTGCTGAAGCAAAAATTGGGAGGGTGCTTTAAGGGACCCAGAGCTGATGTGGTGCTCCTCTTGGGCTTCCATAAAACCAAAAACTGCAACCAGGGGCGTACAGCTGGTGGTTTTTTCTTGGTTTTCCATGGAAAAAAGCAACAAGGGGGGTACAGCTGGTGGTTTTGCTTGGTTTCCATAAACAAAAAAGCAACAAGGGGGGTACAGCAGACCCTCCAAAAACAGAGAGACCCATGTTGACTCCACGTTTTTCAGGCAGGCCTACGCCGAAGCCTTAGCGGAAGCACCAGCTCCGGGCCCACGCAGGAGAGGTGGTTGATCGAGCCCAAGAGTTGGTCGGTCGAGGGCCTGAAATGTTAAGCCTAAGATCCACTTGTTGTTCCATTTGGTGGTTTGGATTGCTAAAATAGGCTTAAGTCTTCCATTTTGTGGTTTGGATTGGTTTGGTGCTTGAGGTGTGGTTCACTTTACCCTCTACAAGAACCAGGGGCTCTAATGCGAATCCAAACCGCTCAGCCAAACCACCTGAGGGGAAGCTGGTAAAAAACGACGGCCCTAAGCCTTACGCCGCGGCATGGAAACCGGATGATTTGGACGTTACTTGCAAATGGTGCAATGGGATGCTGGGGTTTCAATTGTTTCCCCCAAGCAAAACCGCAGCCTAGCAGGTTGGAGAAAATCCCACAAGCCTACCAGACTGCTTTGACCGGCTTTTGACCGGCACTTGGCCCCTTTCCTTTTTTTTCCCAAAATTGCATTTGCTCAAGAATCGGTGTTCTTTTCCCCTCTTGGTTTCAATGGGAATCTATCACTAGAAATATATATATATATATATGTTTTTCTTGTTTTGTTTCCAGGGGACGAAGATATGCAACCATCTTGAAGCCCAGTTTGGCCCGTGGGGGACGGAATTCCTCTGCAGGACTCGGCTCACCATGTTCCTCTCCTTCTTCTGGGCCGCTCGCTCGCGATGCCAAGAAAACTCCACGGAAGAATTGGGGGGGGGGGGGGGTAGATGCGGGTTTTGTGGGCTTTGTGGATGTCAAAATCCGGGGGGAGTGGGTGAAAACGGCGGTGGTCCGATCTTTCAGCGTCCTTTCAAACTGAAAAGGAGAGTGCAAGAGATCTCAAGAAAAAGGAAGCTGATGTTTATGCCCAGAGTTGGGGAGACTTGCAGGACCTCTGACCAGGTTGCATGTTGCACCCTGTGGATAGATTTTTAGACCAGGGGGACTCTCTTATCGAGCAATATGGGCAGGGCCACAGGTCCTGGTGAGCATTGGGCGTTTGGTCCCAAGGCTTCCCCCCCCCCTTGCGTAAGGCAAACATGTGGCTGTGGGTCAAAACTAATGGGATCCCATTTTGGGGGATTTGTGCACCACCCATTTTAGAACCTATTTTAGTGAGGATTGGGATGTTCACTGGGCTTTTGACCCATGGCCGTGTAAGTCTGGTTGCGCAGATGTGGCATGACCCCGATGCCGCTCCTGTCGTGTCTACGCTCCGCTCAGGGCCTTCGCAATGTCGATCCTAAAGCTGGGGATCCGCTGGGAGGTTTTTGGAGAGTGGAAATCTGAAGGAACCTGGCACATTGAGGGCCCATGCTTGAAAACCTTGTCGATCCTTGTCGGGTAGACCCATTGGAACCTGTGAAAGTTGGCGGTTATCCGGTTGAACACATTTTGGGCAATCACTTCAGAGTCCGCATGGGCGAACTCATCCGGGAAATATTTGGCCATCCTACGCGTTTGTCAAATCTTGCCCCCCCCCCCCCCCTCTCGCCCTTTCTGTGAAAATGCGAGTTCTTTCCGGGCTTTTGTTTGTTTCTAGGGAATTGGGGCCACTGCCCCGTCCATACCCAGGTAATGAGGCCAGGAGGCATTCCACCAAAGCTCCCTGAGTTCCTGGACTCCAGCATCACCGCGCACAACTTGGGACCCAGTGGACCGTATAGTAGGTACCCAATGGAACCAGCCTCGAAAATCAAAAAAGAGAATAGCTGGTTACCAGATGGGCAACTGGAAACCTCTGAAACACCCAAAGCGGCAATCCCACGTAGAAGCGTGGCCCGAAAGATGATGACCGTCGAGGGCCCTGTGAGTTGGGAATCTCCTGCCTTGCAGGGGTGCGTGGGCAGAGCCGTTCGGTCTTTTAACCATTATTAACCATGGCCAGGATAACCATGGCCAGTGAATCACCGGGATCCACTGGCTTGGGCAACCATGTCCAAGAGGTGTAGGAGAATTCTTTGGGATCCACTCAAGTGCTCCGGGCCCTGCTTTGAGGCGAGGACTGCCACTGCTCTGGGATTGGTGGAAGCCAGCCAAGCCTGGGCAACCGCGGAGGCGATGCGTTTTTTCTCCCCGTTTTGCCGGCCGGGCCAAAGGGTTGCGCAAAACGGAAGCCGAAGAACATATTAGAAAAAAAAGGCAGGCTGGTGGCAGAAACTGGTTGATTCAAGGGAAGCTGGAGGAAATGGAGTTGATCTTGAGCCATTGATTAATAATGTAAAGTTAACCACTTTGGTATCACAAGAAGGGCAATCTTCCATCAATGAGGTATTTCTTCCATTTGGTCTTTTGTACCTTAGGGTTGCTCCGAAGCTCACGACCAATCCAGGGTACAATGGTTTGGTACAGGTTCCTGTGCTCCTTTGCGAGTTGGTCCAAGTTTGCTGTGAAAGGGTCGGATTGGAGCAAGCCTTTGTTTCTCATATTTTGACCGGCTTGCACCTGGCAGGTGTTCATGCTGGTGCAAGTTGTGGCGTGGTACGTCGTGTGCAACGGCATCAAGTTCAACGGATGTCCGCGGAAGAATCTGCTGGAGGTGTCCGAGGCGGTCCAATCGCGAAACCTGCTATTCAAGCAAGCGACACCCCATGAAGGTGCCTCACCTGAGTGTTTCCTTATGGGTTCGTTGCCTGGCAAGTGACCATTGGCAGTCTAAGTCGCTGGAAGCGTCATTTAAACCACCTGGACCGTGATTTTGCAGGGTGTCTGACAAACTGGCCCTGAGGACGACGCCATTGACATGTTCAGGGGCGAAATGGCGGCTTGGGCTCAAGTCCGCGTTCCGACGAGCGGACCTGATTGGAGAGGTGGTGTGACAACGGGAATTTCATTTACCGCATTCCAACTCCCACCACCCTAAAAAAAACGGAATTTGGGAGCGGGTGTGGTTCCATTTGTATCTTTTTGCAATGAAGAGGGAACAGCGAATTGGGGACCCCTACGCCCAGGTTGGGCTTGGTGGGGAACGTAGTGTTCCAAAGCCTCCTGTCGGCCGAGCGGAAGACTCACTAACGTCCGAACCCTCTCAAGTTTGGGGAGGAATGTTGAGCTGCTCCTGAATTCCCAAGCTTCCGCAAGGCGGTCAAGGACAAACAGGATGCGATTTGTTTTTTTGTTTTTTTTTCTGGAGGGAGCTTAGGAAAACAACATGGGGCTCTCAAAGGATCTTGATTGTTGATTGTGACCTGTTGGTTTAGTTTAGGACCTCCCCCCCCGGCCCCTCATGTTAAGTCTAGAATTGGTTCCGAACTTTGCCGCAGAAGGTGTTTTGTTGCCCAACTGGTACTCGCAAGATAGGTGTTATTTCACCTGGACTTGACAAACCCTGGGTGAATATCCATCGAGGGGCTGATTCACGCTTGGCCGCCCCCCATTTCCAGGAACTTCATTAAATCGATGTGTCAATCGATGGGTTGCACTACACATTCTGCCCACCAGAATGGGATCTGCCCAAATTCACGCGGAACCGTTTCAGCACATTTGAAACGCCTCCGCGCTTTCGGTGGCTGAGGGGGCGGTGCTTGATCTCTTGGCGCCTTTTTGCGGCCCAGGCGGGAACTTTGGGTTGGCGCTGGGGAAAGGAGCCCATTGCCTTGGGTTTTGGTTCATGCCGCATGGCCCGAAGGATCCAAAAGGTGTTACTGGGATTGTTTGATCCTTTGGGCATGGAACCAGGGCTGGCATGAACCGGCGGCTTTCAGTGACACCAAATCTTTGAGTTGCCCAGTGTTGGTCCCTTACACTCCCAGCTAATTTCTCATCAAGTCGACGACCAAGAAGTCACCAGAATTCTACTCCGGTCGGTATGGGGAAAGCGCCAATGTTTCAACTTTCAGCGGGGCATTCCTTTCTGTTGCGATTCCTCCGAGTTCCGCGCCGATTGGTCGCCTGTGCCGAGGCGGACGAGCAGGCGTTCGGGGCTGCGGCATCGCCACGAATTCCTGGAGCTCCCCTGGAGCCACGCTGACGCTGGGCAACTTGAGTTAGGTCACCCGTAATTGGTGGTTTGGCGCCCGGTTGTTTTTGGACTTGGAATTGAACCAACTTGGCGTTTGGATTGAGGTCATGGATCCATGCAGCAACAAGCTGGTGCAAATGCGCACTGCATTTGTCGTCACAGCATCGGACAGCAATCGCTTGCCGGGATCAATCTGAATTGAACGGAATGTTGACTAGGGAGTAGCCATCAGATACCATGTTCACTCTGGGCTAGGCTGCCTGGCACCCTTGCAACCAGAACCTCTTTGCATGGGTCCCCTAGTTTTTTGCACTTTTATTATTTTTGGGGGAGGGTGCCCCTACCAAAACAGACGTCTGATTTTTTTTTCATTTTTTTTTCTTCTTTTAAGGGTAGCCCGTATTCGAAGCTCTCTACTGGACCCAGTCCATAGTTTGCCCCTGACTCCATGGAAGCCACCGATGGGCCCATCGGTGGCTTCCATGGAGCCGAACGGTCGCTCGAAGCTGACGAATCCCGCTGAAGAATGCGGGTGGTTTCTGGAGCTTCATGCTGCCGCGTGCAACTCCGTAAGGCAACATGAGATGAATGTAGCTACACAATTATCTATATATAAGCGTTTTGGTTTATAAAGAAAGGGAATCATATAGGTTGCATGTTTTGTACCACAAATAATTATGATTACGCGTGCGCACACATGCGTGTACATATATATATATATATATTTTGCATACATATATAATTGGTGTACATATGCCTAATGATTTAATTGTCCGTCATAGCAGGTAACTAAAGGAACCACCCTTAAGACACCAACAGGACCATGACTTGCCTGCAGTGGTAGCTGGTTGAACAACTGGGTACTTCGATGGGTGAAAATCGGGACACCAGGCTCCAGGCGCCCGCTTCAGGTAGCTGTATTGCGCTCACGGACGATCGTTGCCTCGAGGCTCGCCACTTTCGAGCGTTTCAACAATGAGATCACCCAGGCAGAGGACTTGGATGTCAGAAACGGGGCGTCCAGCACCCAAAACCCCCAACCCCCAACCAGTTAGACCCGGCCTCTCCCGTCCGTCAGATGGCATTTTTTCCCATACCCCCCCCTACACTTTTGGGCACAATTCAAATACACCCACTAAAACAACCTATTTTCAACATTCAAATTCAATCACCCAACCAATCCAACACCAAAAAACACATATTCACATACCCATCTTCATTTCTTACCCCATCTCAACATCACCCTTACACTCATTCAATAACAACAATCATAACTACATACCACCTCAACAAATCCCACCAAAAAAATCCAAGCTACATACCAACATGTTTTCATTCCCAAGATCGCAACCCCAAGATCTTAATAATTTCTCCCTTGATCCAAACTGCAACCCTCTCCCATTTCCAACAAATACGAACAGTCTAAAAAAGAACCCTATGTTCGCCCCGAAAAATGGTTAACCAATGGAAAAGGGAGAATTAAAACCGTTAACCCAAATCTTGAAAACAATCCCAGTAAAATATGGATGGCAAAATGCGGATGAACAACCCTCTAAGTTAATCATTAGAAAAATAATGTTCTAATGATCAACTTCATTTTTTAGTCCAATTCACCACCATCAGCCTGATCAACTTTCTTTCTTCTCAAAGCTGGATTATACAAAGGCATTGTCATTTTGAGTTCTTGTATCCTCTCTTGACCTTCTTGAAAATATTTGTCCTTGAATTCTTGTGTAGGTGCTTCTTCAACTAATCGTTCATAATCTGCTTTCAAGTGTTTGAGTATATTATCTTGGTGACAACCTCCAACCAAATGGAAGTCCCAAATTTCTGGGTTCACTCTTCTTTCACAAACATGGCAATACAAATATCCATTATTCGCTGTTTTCTCTCTACGCTTCTGATTAATTTCCTCGCGATTTGCTTCAAGATACTGTTTCCGGTATTCTTTCCTCTTGTCTACAGTTCGTTTGTTGTAGTCTCGTTTTTGATCAGTGCATTTATCACAGTTTTTGAGTCCATACACGAAACTATCTTCACCTTTCTCATATCTACATCTTGAACACAGTTTTTTCTCCATACTATAGTAGGACACCTTGCCTTTAGATGGCTACAACCCTATTTTCAAATAATTATCACTCCCCGAAAAATGGTTAACCAATGGAAAAAGGAATATTCTAAGGGCTAACTCAAATTACGTCATTATCCTGGAACAAAATACCTGTAGGCTTTCAGAAGCCTAGCTTGAGCAACTGCTTTCCACAGCAACTGCCCTAACCTTCCACAGCAACGGCCCTAACCTTCCACAGCAACTGCCCGAGACTTCCGAAGCAACTGCCCTAACCTTCCACAGCAACTGCCCGAGACTTCCAAAGCAACTGCCCTAACCTTCCACAGCAACTGCCCGAGACTTCCGAAGCAACTGCCCTAACCTTCCACAGCAACTGCCCGAGACTTCCGAAGCAACTGCCCGAGACTTCCAAAGCAACTGCCCTAGACTTCCAAAGCAACTGCCCTAGACTTCCAAAGCAACTGCCCTAGACTTCCAAAGCAACTGCCCTAGATGTTCAAACCCTCAGAATTTCCGATCTCAAATAAGCGCGAGTCACACCTTGGACATAATAATAGTCTTGTCCTAATTTTCGCTCAATTCTTGCGACTGTAAACTTGTTTGCTGACCACGAACTCGTTCTCTCCTTCTCACTGATCCCCTTCTTACGATATATTTTGACCTCATCGCCAACCCTAACAGGGGGATATTTACGGGTTTTGATTCTGTTCATCTCAAGCTTCATCTTGACCTCGAGATGGTTTCCCTTTTTGTGGGCATCGTTTGGAGTCATATCGTGGGCAGAATGAACCATTTTACTGTTGTATGTCAGCATGATCTCGGGGATATAATCAACCCATTGTATATCATCCTTTCCCTTTTTCTCGTCTGCATCAACCCTCTTGAAAAGCATGTCCTTGAACGTGCGAATGAAACGCTCGGCGAAATGGGGGTGCCCTCGTGTTTTATAGTTTTGGATCCCTTCGTCCTTGAAAAAATCAACAAGATCTTGGGTATTCAGGCTTCCCTCGTCATCCGAATAAATTAATTTGGGTTTCCCTCCCATTTTGTTTAATGCCTCCATGATCCCAGCCGTGATGTCGGCAGGTTGCTTGGATGCAATAGGCACCACCACGGCTTTGCGGGAAAATACATCAATAAGCAATAAGCCTATCCTATATTTTTGATTATCTAAATCATTTTTTGATATAAAAAACAGATCCAATTGATATTCAAAGTTGATATCAGGGGCAATAAACGAATTGTATCCAGACAGTTGTTTTTTCCGTTCCACGTTCTCTTGAAACCACTCCTTGACATCTTGCATTGTTATGGATGCATCTTTCTTTTTTGCATCTTTGTAAGTGGTGGCGATGCTACCAAACCCAGCCTGATCGTAGTAGATCTCACTGATTATCTTGTCTTTATCACTCATATAAATAATACTATAAAATAAAATTCAATATGTTATTTTATCACTGAAGCATCTATTACAAGAAGCACAGAAGGCAATGACATTATCCTTTGTATGGGGAAGATCATTACATAACCTTTGACAAGTCAGATTAGAATTTATATTACCAGAATCCATTGACAACACGAAACCACAGCCACAGTTGGCACACTTGCCATTGACGTTGTCCTTCAACCATTCGGCATCTACATAATTTTCTTTTGGAACACCAAAGCCATTTTTACGATCCTGTTCCTTGTATGCTAACACCTTTCTATCAAAATAATTCATAATGCATTTTGCGTTAAACTCTTCATTTAAATCACTACTGTATTTGTAAAATTTTACTCTGTTTAAATCCCTTGCCCGAGTGATTCCCGTCCAAAGCCACTCGCGAGTTATCAGATGATGGTTCCAATCAAAAATGGTGACATCGTCATCAATGGAACACCCCTGAACAGAATGACAAGTATAACAGAAGGCAAAGATAAAATGACTTCTCAAGATACCAATATGTAATGTAATCTCTTCTCGTGTTTTGATATTAGCAATGGTAATCCAAGGATCGGAAATATTAATTATCTCATACCTAAAATTCACATTTAACTTATAGGTTTTTGTCTTCCTATACTCTCTGCATATCATGATCTCGCCGACTTCAAACTCATTTTGTTTGCCCTGTCGTTTTCTGATCTGCCTTGAAACCTCTCTACAAGTGTTATTTAAATATGCGACATTGCTTTCTGTTCCTGTGATGTCATCAGTATATTTAAAATACTTATTGATGACATCATGTAGAGACAACTCATGCTCAAAGATGTCGGCATAAATACTTTTAAGTTTATCCTTGTCCTCCTGAGTCTTCAATCGCTTGCACTCTTCCAAAAACAAATGATGAGGAAAAATGCTATCAATACATTCATTCATATAAATCTCGTGTTTCTTAGTGTTAGTCAGTGCTTTTATAGGGCTCAATTGCTTGGCGTCACCAGTAGCTAATATGATTTTATTAGCCCTATGTTGCTCTACAAAGCCCTTAATTTTTGCCAATACAAAGGTATTATTAAAACAAATCTCATCAAACACAATGACATCAAACATCGAATGATCGTATTTATCTAGCTTCTCGTCATTGACTGCTATACCGAAGAATTTATTTACAGTGACGCTTTCCACTTCGCACTCCAAACCCAGATTATTGGTAGGAACCACGAACAACACTTTATAACCCTTGAGTCTCTCCATGTTCTTGCAGATGGTGGACTTCCCCGCTCCTGCGAATTTAGCCTTAATCATCAAGCACCTATATTTCTCAACAAGTTCAACCAATTCATTTTCATCATACTCATTAATGATGTTAACTCTCTTACTTTTGACAATCGGGATATCAACATATTCACACTTCTTCTGTTCATACAACTGCTTTCCTGTATGATGGATCTCATCGTGAGTCTTGGCTAATTTCCACCCACCGATCCCATCGTGAAAATCTAGCAACTGCTGAGTCTTTCTCAAACCAAACTTATTAAAACCCGAACAGTCCACGACAAAAGCGTCGCATTTGACACTCAATACCTTAACATTGTTCTCTGTCAATTTTTGATATGCGCATTGCATTTTAAAATTATGATACTGCAATAGCATTTCTTTAATAAAACGAAACCCATTGGACAACTCGCACCTATCAACCACATTCAGAATATAATATAAATTGTCGTTTTGTTCAGATACTTCTCTATCACGGCACCACATGCCATTATCATCATATTCCTCAACCCACTTGGCAGTATTCCTGCTCATCATGTTTAACTTTCCCCCTGCATCTGCCTGAAGGCTGATCGCCTCATTGAGATCATTAAAAACGAATGATCTCTGACTGCTGTTCTTACTTTTTTCCAACAAGCCAAAAATCGAGTTGGCTATTATTGTTTTAATTGCCTTGTCTTCTTCAATATTTTCGCTTATTCGCTTTCCCCAGAGTTCCTCAACCAACATTTTATTATCTACCTTGTGAATGAAATGTGGCTGTTTGTAGTGAGTAATGGACAACTCGCCAGATGCAACAAGTGGCATAAAATGCTTAAGAAACATACCATAAACTATATTAGTATCATTATTAAAAAACAGATTGCGATGTGTCAGTTCTGCTTTTACCAAATATATATTTACATCCTTGATCTTACATTTACTATTATAAGCTTTCCAATTATCAAACTGATTAAAAACTCCGATTCTGGTAATCGTATTAAATGCATCTGTAAACGCTTTGTTCATGTCGATCTCCTGTTTTGGAACATCCAATTTATCCAAGCCCTTGAATAACTCGCCTTGTGGGACGATGGTTCTATAATTATTTAAAACTTGTATATCGGTAGGACTGTAATAAGACTTGTGATTTGGATTGAATAATTTCTTTTTGAATGTAAACATTGCTTCAGTCATATTGTTGTAAACGGTTTCTCTGTCTACCGTGATGTCACTATTGA